CTTTAATGGGAATGCATTCCTGTTGGGTCAGTTTTGGTTCCTGTGTTGGCAAATGTGCTATCTCAAATAACCTCTACTTCATCTCCCTCCCACTCTGTGACTGATGCACGACAAAATATTCAGTCATAACTATTTGGGTGTTTAGTTGTTCAGGCCAATTATCCTGCCAAGTCAGTCCTACACACAAGTTTGATAGCCACCTCCAGGGCTATATCTTACATTATGTATCATTGTTGGCTTCTGTGTTAATCAGAGGCTCAAATAGTAGAGTCTGTTGACCTGAAATTTTACAGCCTTATTTTCTCTCCCACTTCAGTATTTCTCCAAAGTCATATCTCCTATGATAGATCGTTTCTGCCACTCCATTATTATTCTTGAACTAGCAGCAGCGGAATTGTAAACCAGATTTACTGTGGTATCTTGAACATCAATAACTACTGTAATAGAACTGCTAGCATTTTCTCTCTGAAGTCTGATACACTGTGTGGATGGGTCCTATAGAATAGTACATAGAAAGTTCCTCAGAATATTTATTTACCAATGAAGGAGAATATTTGTAGCTCAGGGTTGAAATGAGGTGTCCTTGGTGCTCTCTGAGCTTGCTTGTTTTCTTGCAGACGTTTCATTACCCTAACAAGTGACATCATCAGTGCTAGTAAGGAGTGCTGTTTGCTGTCTGTTTATATTCTGATGTCTTGCCTGACTGGGTGGGTGGGGGCGGTCTTAGGGATTCTTTGGTTAGGTTGTTTATTAATGGCTCTGTGGCAGTTTCTTGATTGGGGTATTGCTTACTTGATTGTTGGTCTGAAAGTGACCTTGGAGCTGATCTGAGTGCCGATTGTCACATTTTCCCAATTGAAACTATGGTTAAATCTGTCTATATGTTGTGAAATTTAAAAAAATTTGTCATGCCTTTTGATTGCCAGTTGGTGTTCATGGATGCATTCTGCCAGTCTTCTGACTGTTTGTCCTACATAGTGGTTGTTGCAGTTAACCTTAGTTTCAATTGGGAAAATGTGACAATCCTAGACCAGGCCAAATCCGAAAATGCCAGGGAATTTCTAGAAGCCTGGCACTCTGACAAATCAGCTATCAATAGAAACATAGACATTAACAACATCTATAGATTATGCAGAAGAGACAATCAACTAGCCCCCAAAGAGAAAAAGACTCCAGCACCTCTCCCCCAGTAATCAGCACTCAGATCAGCATAGATTAACTCCAAGGTCAACTTCAGACCAACAATCAAGTAAGCAATACCCCAATCAAGAAACTGCCACAGAGCCATTAGTAAACAGCCCAACCAAAGAATCGCTAAGACCGCCCCCACCCACACAGATAGGCAAGACACCAGAATATAAACAGACAGAAAACAGCACTCCTTACTAGCACTGATGTTGTCACTTGTTAGGGTAATGCAAGAAAACAAGCAAGCTCAGAGAGCACCAAGGACCCCTCAATATTTTTTTTTAACCAATTGCCTAATATCCTGTCAACATTTCAGACTTGAAAACATTCTCTCCTTAATTGTGGGAGATGCTTATTACTATTCAGTATCGCAGTGGATTTGCAAGATTTTTTTTTTTAAAAAAAGAAGTATACTGGAATGGAATTTCTGAACACATTCACCAAACTCAAGGATAGATGCTTTTCTTAGATGATATAGTAGCTAAATTTTTAACTCTGGAAGAATCTGAATACAATATGGATCTGGGGAGATTTTTGGATGCTTCTTGATTGAGGGCATAATGCCACTTGGTCAATGGAAACTACATGTATCTACATTCCACATAGTCATTATCAATGATTCTAGCTGTAGAATAATACACTCTTTGAGGAAAACATTTTCTGGATGTTTTCTTGACGGTAAAAATACTGCTTGCAGAAATTCATCATTCCTTGGTTCTACCAGTTATATTGTGTAGCTGCTTCATCTTTTCCTACTAAACTGAGTTACTTTTGTAATCTAAAGGACTGTGCATGTAAATGGAACTATCTGGGACAGAAAGTACCAATATCTTGACCTCTGGTAATACAATATAAACCTTATCTGGAGATATTCCAAGAGTTGCTAGAGATCTCATTGTTTAGAATTAGACATCTGACTCCAGGTTGTTTTCTTATTTAATAAGCATGGTGGCTCAGCTTAAACCAATTGCTATCTCATTACCTAATGCTTACAGGGGTATTATTAGAATTAAAGTGGAAACGGAAGAACTGTTTATAATGCTTGAGCTCCTTAGAGAAAAGATGGGATATAAATATCAGAGAAGGGCAGCTAAGATCATCAAAAGTTTGGGAAATTCAATAGGAACTGTACAGATACACTGAGAGGTGATGCACTTTGAGTTTCCTCTCCATCTTTCTTGGAAGCCAGCAGCTGCCGGAACTCAACGCCCACTCTCCCTTTACACACCAACAAAACTTGCTATTGTTCTGCCTGTTCAAGCCAACATGTGTTCAAGCATGGATTGGTGAAAGAGCTCATGGCAACCATGAATCTATCTCAGATTTTTAGAGGCTAGCTCGTAGTGGTGATTACATGTTAGAACTGTATTTTATCTTGGGGCAGTTATGGCGTGATCTATCTATCTATCAGATCAAGCTGACCCATACCGATAAACCTTGATAGATTTCACAGAGAGCTTAGGGATATGATGAGCAATCTAGCTTTTACTTGCCCTTTGTAATGGGCAGGTGTCAAGGGTCTTGGATCAGATTGCATCAACTTTCTTTTTCCTTGATCCTGAAAAGCTTCCTCATTTTCTGAGGAGCTCCTGGAGATAAAATGACAAAAGAGAGACTTAGAATGCTATTGAGGATAGAAGAAGAAGAAGAATGAATCCAACCAAACACGTAAGAACTTGAATTAGACATTGCATTGCAGCATAGTTATTGTCCAGCAGCCGTATTTAATCATGTTCTCTGCTGGGGTGTGTCATAGAACTATTTGCATTATCCTGGATCCCTCTTGAATCAAATCACTTGATTGCTAAGAATTAGGCTCTGACTGGGCCATTCTGTATGTTTTGACAGAAGCACTAACAAAATCCACTATCTGCCTTTTAGATCTATGCTCCTATGCTCCTATCTCTCGTTGAGTGATAATATGTGGTTGGGTCCATATGGTAGTGAATGAATCTTTTAATGTGGTGGTGATTCTGACTGCCTTGAAGGCGGTAGCAATGTGCTTCCTCCTCAAGAAGCCATTATTGGATCCAACAATTCTGAACATTTTTTCCAGTCTACAACCTTCCCTTCTTTGTTACTGATAAGGTACTTGAATTGGAGCTTCAGAGTGCTCTGAAGAAAGTAGGTTATCTAGGCCCATTTCAGTTGAGTTTTAGGCCAGGTCGTAGTATAGAGATAGCATAACTTGTTAAATATGGTATCTTTCCAAATGCACTGTGTGGATTAACAATGGGAGCTAAAGTGTTGTGTGGTTCTCTTCTTCCTCACATGGGCAGTTTGTTTTTGCCTCTCCTGTTTAACATCTGTATAAAGCCTGTGGTTGAGGTCATTTGCAGAAACAGAGTTTGCTATCATTGCTGTCTGGATGATACTCAACTGTATCTCAATCCCAAGCTGATCAAGTTGTTGAGTCTTCTTTCAGTGACTGTTTAGAGTCTAGAGCAGTGGTTCTCAACCTGTGGGTCGGGACCCCATTTGGGGTCGATCGACCATTTCATGGGGGTCGCCAAGCAAGGCTGTCCGCCATTTTTTTTGTCCGCCATTTTTTTTCCCTTTTCCGGCGGGTGCCTTACCTCCCTTGGGCTGGGCCAGCTGGTGGTCGGCCTGCTCCGTCTCTGCCGCTTGCCAGCTACGCCTCGGCTGACACGGGGTGGAACCACGCATGCGTGGTGCTCCCGGGCAGGGAAAGTCCTCGACTTACGACCGGTTGGGTAGTCCTCGACTTACAACCGGTTTAGTCCTCAACTTACGACCGGTTTAGTCCTCGACTTACGACCGGTTGGGGTCGCGGCATTAAAAAGGTTGAGAACCACTGGTCTAGAGCAGGGTTAGGCAACCTGCTGGCTCAGGAATTCTGGGAGTTGAAGTCCACAAGTCATAAAAGAGCCAAGGTTGCCTACCCCTGGTCTAGAGGAGGGATTGGGAGGGTGTGCTTAAACTCTTCCCTGCCTAATCTGAATGGTCTGTATGTTCCCATAGATTTTATTTATTTATTTGTATCCTGCCTTTATTATTTTTACAAATAACTCAAGGCAATAAATATATCCCACACAACTTCCTCCTCCTATTCTTCCCACAACAACAACCCTGGAAGGTGAGTTGGGCTAAGAGAGAGCTCAGCTACCTTCATGGCTAAAGTGGGACTAGAACTCATGGACTCCTTCTTTCTAGCTGAGTCCCTTAACCACTCAATCACATTGACTGCCATTTTTTAGCCTGAATTCCCATTACAGTTTTCCAGGCAGACCTAATGTGCAATTTGGGGATTCTCCTGGACTGGCAGCTTCTGTTGAAAGATGATATGACAGCTGTGGCCTGCAGGGCTTTTCCCCAAATTTATTTGGTATATCAGTTACTTTCCTTCATGGATTGAGAGTATCTTCTCACAATGATGCATATTGTAGTCTAGTTGCATGTAGACTGCTGCTTTACATGATGCTGCCTTTCATGCCTCACCACATTGTGGACTAGCTGCAGTTTCTGAGTTATTTTATATTTATAAAATTGCAAAATATATCATTGTTTTATCTGATTAACTTTAATTAATAAAATAATGCGGGTTGTCCACTCCTAATCCTAATGACATTATTAGATTTAGTAATAGGAGGGATCGCACAAATCCATCAATTCTTTTAGGAAGTCATGAGAACACTTGGCTTAAGGACATTTTATTTCCCTACATTAATTGTATTTAAGCAGAAGCTAAGACAACTACCTAGGCAGAGGTTGAATGAAATAGCCTAAGTAGCCTCTTCCAATTCTATAATTTTATGACTATAGATTAACCATACTTAATAAATCTTTTTTAGGAGGATAACAATGATTATACTTATGTGCAAAGAGTTCACATGCCATTGGATCATGGTACTTTGCTAATGATGGAAGGAGCTACTCAAGAAGACTGGCAGGTGAGGAGCCTAAAGAAAAATTATACAAATGCTATTTTCTTCCCTACAGATCTATATTTAGGTAGTCCTCGGCTTATGACCGCATTCGGGACCAGAATTTCCCTTGCTAAGCAAGGGGGGTTGCTAAATGAGTCACACCCAATTTTATGATCCTTTTGTCATAGTTGTTAAGTGAATCATGCTGTCATTAAGTGAATCTGGCTTTCCCCCTTGGCTTAATGGAAGTTGGTTGGAAATGGCAATCATGTGACACTGGGATGCTGCAACTCGGTTGCCAAGTGCCCAGATTTTGCTTATGTGACTGTGGAGATGCTGCAATGGTTGTGAGCATGAGGTCACTTTTTTCAGTGCCATTGTATCTTCAAACAGTCATTAAATGAATATTTGTAAGTCAAGGGGTAACACTGATACACATTCAGGTGGGGAGAACTGAAAAGTTGTTTGCTACGAGATTGGGCTGCTTGTCTTTTTTCATAGGTCACAAAAATCTTACAATTTTGGGGTTTTTTTTCTGAACAACCGGAAGATGTGTGGGTACCAACGTGTGAAATAGTGCTGCATGGTAGTGCAGTAAGCAAATAATGTTGTATTGTTAACCAGAAAAAAACAAACAAACAAAAAAGAACAAAAGGAAGATGGGATTTGGCCTCTTCTTTATTTTTGGAAGAAAACCAAGTACAGCAGTTTTAAGGAAATTCGTTTTAAATACAATTTGATGTTTTGCATGCCAACAACCAAAATATCTGTATTTCCTTAATATGTGTTATGTAACTGAAGGGCTGATTTGGATCTTTTTTCAGCACCGTGTTCCCAAGGAATATCACTCCAGGGAACCACGTATAAATTTGACGTTCAGGACAATATATCCAGAACCAGAGGCAATGCATACATGACTGAATGAAATGCAGAACTGTGCTTTCGCTGCTGAGTCCAGAGTTTGATGCTGACTTGGATGTGATGACCCAGCCAGATTCACCATTTGACTGCCACCATCTCAGGGGAGAAGAAACTGCTTGCAAAGAGAACGTACAACTTTTGCATATTTCCATTGAGCAATGTATTGTTTTCTTAGACTGCCTGCTAATATGTAATCCTGATGATAAAATTATTTGTTTATTGTTTAAAACCAGTCAAAATGTTATATGCATTCAGAGCGCAAATGTTATCTTTAGTGGAGAACAGAAAGGATTTTTCTTCAGGAGGAAGACTAATAATGGATTTCAGAAACATTTCCAGTTTCAGAACTTGTAACTGTAGTTGCCATGTTCATGACCATTTCGGCAATGCTGGAGCAATTTTGGGGGAAGAGGGAGCAGGGTAAAAGAAATATCTAGTATAATTAGCTGTAATCCTGTGGATGGTTTCAGTAGGATCTTCTACCTATACCAATAAGACTATTATTACTGAAGATAAAGCAAAGCTGTTTTAAATAACTCATGCCATTCAATCTAGCATTCTGTTGTATTAGATGAACTTCAGTAATATTTGAAAATATATATCTAGGAACCTTGGCTTCATTTTTCAAGACTCAGGAGCATGTTCCTTCTCAAGTATAGTTATTCATAAGATTAGATGGGGAATGAATGATTACATTCCTAGTTATGATTGCTCCGGATCTTCAGTTGAGAAGCACTCCAGATATATTTACATCAGCATCTTTTTTTCCAAAAAGATAGTCCCTGACTTACAATCACTATTGGGGCCAGAATTAGAATGTGGTTGTTAACCAAATCATATGAGTGGAACCAATTTTACAGCCATTTTTACTGAAGTCATTAGGTGAACCACCATGGTTGTTAAGTGAGTCACATGTTAAGTGAATATTAAGTGACTTGCAGAGCTGTTAAGTATATCTACGCTCCCCCATTGACTTTGCTTGTTGGAAGCCAGCTGGGAAGGTTGCAGTTGTGATCACGTGACATTTCAACCATCATAAATATGAGCCATTTGCCAAGCCCCAAACTGAGAACGCGTGATTGTGGAGTGTTGCAACTTCAAGGATAGATTGATGTCACTTTTTCTGACACTTGTAACCCGCCCACCACCCACCCCTGTTAAAAGAGCAGTCTTAAATCTTTATACACTTTAATGTATAGGAGTCTGTGGGCTCCCATAGGCCTTACTAAGTAAACATGGTAAGGAGTTGTACCTGAGTGTTTGGTCTGGAAGTGGGCTCCATGTACCCAGACAAGTCAAACTGATGGGATAGGAAATGGAGAAGAATATAGCTGGCTGTCAGACAGCAACCTCACTGAGTTTACCTTTTGATGGGTGTTTTTGTAATTGGCTGTGCTGCCATACCAACTGCTTAATGAAAAGGTAAACTTCAGGGGCAATGAATGTCATGTGAATGCCCACAGGATGGTCTTCAAATTCCACCCCTTTCCCAAATTATTAGCTACTAGGTTAATGTTAATGTTTCATACTTGGATTAGGTACCCTAGATGTAAGTGGCAATGCTTTTAGAGGGGCTGCTGCACTGCTGTAAATGGTTCTCTTCCTCCTTCTCCCTTGGAGCTTGTTCATTACCTGCTTTGATTCTGAATGTGTGATTCAGCCTTTTCTGCACATTAAAAAAATGACTAACTGGACAATAAGCATGAATCCCCCTCTCCTTTTTTTGTGCTTGTACGTTTAACTGGATCAAAAAGAATTGCTGTTCAGTAGCGCCTGTGGCCTGTGATGGCTGGTCATAAAGCTGTGTAATCAATAGATAGCTCTGTTTTGTCATAATTGAAAATCTAACCTGCGTAACCCGGGGCAAATGGCAGGAATTTGTTTCAAATGCAGTTTATAGCTGTATCCATGGCAAGCTTTCATTGAAAGTGAAAATTATGCAATTGAAGGTAGCTTCTTTCTGCAAAATTATTTTGGGGGAATGTGCCTTTCAAAAATTCTGTAATAGGAGAGGCAGCAGGCAAACATTTGTCCAACTCTATGAGCAAACCTTACAAAATGTATTAATCTTGCTAAATTTAGTTTAACCATGATTATTTAATAAGCCATGATTAGTTCACACGGCAGGTTAAACTATAAACTATACCCAAATTGCAAGAGCTAATCTTATTCATCTGTTATTATTTTTTGAACAAACAATGAAGTATAAAGCTACAATACAAGGCATGATAGCTTTAGACATGCTAAGACAAAACAGATCGTGTTGTGGCTTAATATATGCATGAACCTGATGATGTGTGGAGCAGTAAACAACCTTATTGGAAGACAGTAGTTTTCCCTAGAAACTGAAATCAAATGTTCATGTTCTAGAGATTCTATCAAACTATTTTGGATTAGTTAACAATTACAATTCAGCATAGCTGAAACTTGGGACTTCTTGGGGTGTTCTGGTTTGGACAACATAACATCAAGGAGAGCATGCCCTCTTATTTCCACCCTCCTTTAACACAGATCTCTGTTCCTTGAGCTGTTTCTGGCATTGTAGGAGGAGATCCTTGTTAGTTCTATAACGGTAAAATGGTAAAAATTGGCTCCTGCATATATAGATTACATCATAGGCCCCAACAAATACACACAAATTAGAGGCACCTTCACATGTTGTTCTTCCAACTGATACATGTCGTTATCTGCCAGCTATCTCCTCTGGATTCTACATAGGACAAAAAACTAATGGACAAAAGTTTGACATCAAGACTCAAAACAAGGCTAACGAAACACAAAAGCATTTAAACCTCCCAGAATGTTCCATAGCAAACCTCAAAGTAATCATTTTGGAAAAGTGGGACTTTAACAGCACTTTCCAACAAGAAATCGTTGAACTTGCATACATTAAAAGGTTGTAGGAAATTTCAGCAGGTTTGAACAAATGCAAGGAGTTTTTGATAATTTACAATTGTTGATTTATTGTAATGTTTTACACGTAACCTGCCTAGCCAACCTACCTTCTCTCCATCCACTTTTTCACTCTCTACTCAACCCAATTTAAATCCTGCATCAGTCTAACCACTCTGCATTTCATGAAATGAGCTTCAGTTTACAAAACCTTATACCTTTTAATAATATTTTAGACAGAAAAGGTGCACCCAGATTCCTAATTCTGAGTAGCTCCTGTTTATACAATATTTTATCAGCTTACTCCCCATTTTCTCAGCACCTTCCCTCCTCTCCCCTCAGCTGCACTCATGTCACTCCCATGTTGATTAGGGGTGATGGCATGTCCCATCAACTGACCTGGCTCTCCAATCTTCCCAGCCTCTTCTTATTGAAATATATTGGCCTGTACATCTGTTCCTCCCCTACTGGTGTTAGCAATAAGGAAGATTTCCACTGGAGACAATTAATGGCCTACCTGCTGTTCTTCTCAACACCTTTGCTTCCCCCTCTCCCTTTGTCTTTCTGCCATTTGCCCACTTTTCCCAACCACTTCTGTCTGGATTTGCTAACACGCATGCCCAGACAGCTGAAATGTATGCATTTCAGGTTATATAGGAACTATCCAAAACCAGCTGTTCTGAGCATGAAATGGTTTGTGCATTGAACACTGCATGTCTATATTGCTCCACTTTCTGGAACCTTGTAATTGCTACTTCCCTCCGGCCTAAAACAAAAATAGGGTGTTGGGTCAACAGTATTTTTGTCCATAAAAAGACATGTTTTGTACCTCTTCCTCGTTATTTGATAAGAGTTTCTATGTAGCAAAATGAAAGCAAACGCCACCAGGAAGGAAGCTTTTTTTAAAAAAACGAACAGAAAATAGCTAATCCACTGTTATTTCTTCACCTTCTCTTTCTTTTGCTTAAGCACTTCTTTTATAGTCTTGTCTTCCCTTGAAATCATTCATGCATTTTTATCCAACTGACAAGTTGGCCCCATTCTATCCATTATGTTAGGATTGCTTGAGTGATCAGAGGCTAAGTCACCCAATACCTTTTCAGGGCTGCAGATAGTTGATGACAGGAAAATGCTTAAGGAGCCAGGGAACCAACAGAAATGAATCTTGGGTGGCCTGGGACAACAGTTTTCATCAACTGGCACTATAAAACAAGTCTTGATGGATATCTATGAAGCCCAAAATATTTCAACGTCAAGTGCTGGCCCCTTTTTTTAAACTAAACACAGTTTTCCAGATTGCCTTTTCTGGGCAGATAATGTTTCCATTTGAAAATAGAAGAAGTCCTAGTAATGACTTTGTAGGCATGTACAGTATATGGTGTGTGTTTGAATTTTAAATATCTGGTTTCTATAGCAACCCTTTTTTATTTATTTGAATTAGGAATCACCGGCCCTTCTAAGAAGACCAAATCTTTTTTTATGAAAGTCAATGTGTTCCAGGTTTCTTTATCAGAGCTGGGGAAGTTTTGATAAGTATATTGCTGCTTCAGCAACGACTTTGTTACTCAGACCTGACCTCTTCTTCTGGGAAGTACAAAATATGAGACTGTTTCTTTTCAGATTTTTTTTACAGTACAGGAATCCCCCATTTGAATTAAAGCAATTACATTAGAAAGGAGGTGTTCAACTTTTGAATGTTTGAGGGAGAAAAAGGCCTCTTTAAGGAAGTGTATCATATACTGTATAGGCTGGAAAAATCCAAAGGAGCCCAAGCTGATAGCAAAGATAGTTGCCATTTAGCAGTCATCTAGATTTTGGCAGTCTAGATATAATATGTCTACTTCAAGTTGCACTTTGCCTCCTGGTACAAAAATGAATGCATGATATATATTCTTTAGCAGCACCCCTAAATTAACCCATTCCTTTTTACTCTTGTTTATTCTCCTAAGGGGAAGTTGTTTTCTATATTATACAAGACAGAAACACTGAGAAGTTAAATCATAATGTGTTACGATCTTTTCAAGATTAGTCAATGTGGGGCCCTCTGTGTTTTGCACTCAACTATATTAGCATAGTCAGTGATAAGGGATGGTCACAGCTTTCATGTCACTGTTTCAGCATATTAATAAAAGCCCAAACCATGATTAAGGTTCAGTTTGGACTGATATTTTTTGCAGACCTTTTTCTATGTTGTATTCGGACGGATAAGGACAAACACTGTGCCCACCATATAATTTGCCAGCGTTATATAATCTGAATGAACTCCCTGCCCACCAACAGAGTAGGAGGACGAGGCAGCCCTTGTGAATACAGAGGCACTTGACAGATGTATACATGCCTGAATTAAGGAAGAATCATGTTTATCCTCAAATCAACAAGAGCTGGCCTCCTCTGCCTGGATTTTAGCTTCTTTTTTGGAAAAAGTTGACAGGCCTTCAGGACAGTTAAAAAATGGTTCAGTGCAGGGGCAATCTGCCCCTCTGCTAAGATAGTTTATGTTTTGCAAGTGCAAGCTAAGCATACTGTCTCTTGATGACATCTTGATTAATAAGGTTTTTTCTCTCTCACTCATTTGTGCTGCTTAAAAAGAGCCTCAGTCTTTTTGTATTTCTCTGCAGTACCAGGCGATGCTGAGTCCTGCAGTCAGGTGGAAATCAATAGCCCTTTGGTTGGTTACAAGCGTCACTGGGAGAGCAAGTGGTGGTTGTTGTTTTTTTCAATGTGGCGTTTATGTTTGCTTTTTTGTCTCCTGCTTCTGATATCAGCTTTGCCTTGAAGCTTTCTAGAGGGCAACGCTAGGCTTAGTTGAAGTACTTGATGTATTTTAAAGGTAATATTTCAGGAATTCTTCCTAATGCTCAACCTCTAAACTTTGTTTCATTGTATTCATTGTATTCAGTGTCTTTCTTCCTTGTTTTCATAATTTTCTACATATTTATAGAAGCTAAAGTTTATTACAGCTGGACTGAAATTATACTGCTATCATTGAAAAATAAGATTGGAAAACTACGTAGATTTTATTTCTATTAAAACAGATAAAAAGCAGGGAAAGCTCGGGAAGTTTTCGTGAAATGTTATTCCACAGATTAGCTGCCATTACAGTAGCCATCACTCCTAGTAACATGGCTGGGATGATGCAGCCCAACTGGAATCATAATATCATAAGGCTGGGAGGGACTTTGGAGGTCTTCTAACCCCCTGCCCATCTCAGACAAATGGTTGCTCAATCTTTTTTTTTTTTTTTTTAATCCAGCAATGGAGCACCCAAAACTGGGTAAGCAAGCTGTTCCACTACTTAATAGTTTTCACTATTAGGAAATTCTTCCTTATTTCCAAGCTGGCTTAATGCACTGCCCATTCTTGTTCCAGGGCTGTGATTTTCATAATTGCCATTGGGTCACTTATGAAAGTGAGTTTTTCTGGAACTCTTAACGTGGATTGTAAAATGAGTGAAAGTACAGTTTGTGTTGTCCATTTTCACACTGTTGATAACTCCCAGTCAGAATTCCTACAAAATTCACCGAGAACACCTTTTATTGTTCACATAAGAAATGTGTGGCTATCCAATTGTTTCAAAGTAGTTTCCAAAGTATAAAGCTACTTGGACTGATGCAACATCTTTGGGGGATTGGTTTGACTCTGACAAAAGTTGATTCTGGAAATTAAAAGAGATATAATCATTTGTGAAGCTTCATGTGAATGGAGCAACTATTAAAAATAATCCTGATAAAAGTACAAAGTGCTGCTTTTTGTCCATGGCTGCAAAGAGGATGGAAACAAATGGTTAAGGCTTATCACCAGCTTTTTC